GTCATTAAAAATTATTAATAGCCATCTCTTCAATTAATGAATAGCCATCTCTTCAATTATCTTCAATTAATGAATATTCTTCATTGAATGGTTTTGACATTAATTATCCACCAGTACCAGCGTAAATTATCAATCTAAGAGATCTAACCAACACAATATAAAAAGTTTGAATTATTAACCAATCTGGCAATGCATGGTGTGGACACTTTCTAAGGAGATTTTTGAATCTTTCATATGCTTCATAAATTGATTCCCCTCAAACTAACAAAAAGATGTAATATCATTTCTAAGCTTAGCAGTTTTTGAAGGTGGGAAATATTTAGATAAAAATTTTTTAGACAAATCTCCCCAAGTTCAGATAGATCTAGGTGCTAACAAATTTGACCACATCTTAGCTTTATCCCTCAGTGAAAAACGGAAAAGTCTAAGCGTGGCAGCATCATTCGACACTCCATCATATTTAAATGTAGCACACAATTCTAGAAGTAAATTCTTAAAATTAATGGAGTCCTAGATATTGATCCCACAGGAAAGTTGGAAAATCCTATAAGTTAAATTATAAAAATAAAAATAAAGTGTGAAGTTTGAATATTAACTTCTAAAGTGAATGCTATATAAAATGCAGTTGAAAGATAAAATTAACTAACTAAAAACCAAACTTTCAAAAGTAAAATTACTAAAACTAAATCAAGTTTTTATTGATGGAAGATTCAAATTTAAGAAAGCATCATTCTCCTTTACAATGAGTATATGGATTGTGAAGAAATTAAAATCATTTGAAAAAATATATATAAAAACTATTTTGTGTAGAATAGGAGCAATCCTAATCTTTACCCTCTTCCGAGTGCTATAAAAAACATAGACTAATCCACAGGTTGGTCCCTAATTTTGTGGTTAGGCTAGGAGGATGCCAGCTAGAGCCTCGCCCAGCCTTCACTTCAAGACAGCATAACCCTAAAGTCAAGACAGATTTTTCTATTCCCTCCACCCCGTAGGTCACCTTCCCCTTGATCAACGTCTTTTTCTTCTTATGGTATTGAACACGCACCGTCAACCAGCGAGTGGAGTTTACGAAAGGAGCCATGGGAGCTTTCACGGGCTCAGCCTTACGTTTTTTGTTTTTCCTTTCAGTCATTCCTGCTCCTAACCCGCACCTACTCAGAACTCCTAAGAACCTTACCCGCCCGCGGGAACTGAACCTGCTAAAAGACCTATTCCCGCGTGAGGAAACCCGTCCTTCTCTAGCGCCTTTGGTGTATGATTCGACTCCACTTCCTTTTTTCTCTTTGCTCCTCCTACTGCTTGCATCACAGAACAGAAGGACTGCTCCCACTACTGGAGTAGGAGAACCCGGTCTTCGTATATAGGACTTGACCGGGTAAGATGCGGAACTTTCCGGGTGTTTATCGCGTCTTTCCGGGTATATCCGCTTTGGATTCCTTGCTAAAGGAATGCTTGCTGTCAGCTTTCAGTCAAGTGTAATCAAAATTCATGAGAATGATACTACAAAACACGAATTTCATATATAAAAACAAGTTTACAAAGCAAAAGAAATAAAAGTCACAACTTATCTCACAATTCTTCCCAAGCAAATCCCTAGAAGTTCTCCCCAAGCATTTTTTGCTTTACAAGCACACTCAATTCTCTCTTAGAAGTGTAATGAAGAAGAATTATCTCACCTTCCCTCTCTTCTTACAACCCTAGAAGAAAATCTCCTCTTCTCTTCTTCTTGCCTTTAACGCCACCCCCACTTTCTCTCCTTTCGTCCCCCCTAAACTCCTTGGAGTCTTCCTTTTTTATTTTGAGCTGGCTCCTTTCAAAACGAATTCAAAATTCCTTCCTAAATTCCCTCCAAAAGTCAACTCTTTTGAATTCAAAAGATGTGTCATTTGATCAAAAAGATATATCCCTTCATAAAAGAACCTTCCAAAGTGTCTAGATGCAT